TGGAGATCCTCCACGGCCGCTTCCCCAGGGCATCGGGCGACAGCTGAGCACCACGTCCTTAACTCGGGCAGGAGGTTCCTCTCCTGCCCTTTGCCCATCTCCAGCGGGGCGCCGGTATCTCACCCGGGCTCCTGCCGGTCCGTGGAGACGTCTCCGTCGGGTCGTCTCCTCTGCCGGGCAACTCGGTACGTCGAGACTATCTCCCCACGGCAGATTCGAGCACCTCGACCTCAACTAAACAATAACGAAATCTTACGAGAGCCTTGACATAACTATACTAATCAACCCGAGAGCGTAGCTTCTGAGCAGGGTGGCGACCCGAAGAGGACCAGAAATCGAGAACGTTATCTGTATCGGTAACCGGAGCCGCCTTGGGACCGTGATTCGAAAAATCACGTCACAGTAGATACAAATTATACCTGTCTGATACTCTATTCTCCTCAACATACCAGAGTCCTATTATACATAGTGTAAATATATAGTAAGTACTTATACCCTATGAATTCCTTTATCTATAAAACCTTAAGGCAATTTACATAGAGACTTTTGATGCATAAACCCAAAGCATATACCAGCTTATAATATAATTATTGCAATAAAGTCGTTATAATACAATATACACAAACAATGTGTATATATGTATAAATTCTATATACAGATTCTGCTAACAATTGTGACAGAGGATTATATATATATATATATATATATATTATATATAAAGTGACATGGTAAACGGAGCAGTGGAAAAGGAGGGGGAGGGGTGGTCTTTTATTAAAAATATTCAAATCAGCATCCATTGTATACCTCAAAGAATTTCATAAATTTCAAGTATCACTGCCAGTAAGGCATCTTACCTGTTTATTGTTATTCAAAGAAAAGAAGAATGAAAGAACATGCGGTTAGCGCCGGTAGCTTTAAGGTTCCGTACATTTATATACATATATATGCGTGCAAGTGGATGCGCGTAGAGACTTTTGTCCTAGTTCTTTATATACTTGTGTAAAATTATATGGGTTTTATTGAAAAAGTCAAGAATTTCTTCACGATTTTCAAAATTATTAATGGCGACGACCAGTGAATTACTTTTTGCGAAAATTGAACTCTTGGGTCCTGGCGATGTTCCAGTATCCCCGGAGAGCATCATCGTACCCATCGTCTCCTGTATCTTGGGATTTCCGCTGTTAGCGCTGCTAGTCATCTGCTGTCTCAGAAGAAGAGCCAAACTCGCCAGAGAGAGAGCAAGACGAAGAAACTGCGACATGGACCACGGCGCTCTGAGTCTTGTACGATTCAGTCCTGTTCATCGTTTAGGTGAAGAAAAATTATATGAAAATATTTTTTTTCTTTTTTTTTTACACGCGTCTACGATAGATTATTATTTTCCGATAATATTTTTTTATTATTTATTTTACACTCTATGGTCGGATAGCCTTTTCTTTTATCCAACAATAATTATTCACGGTGAGGAAGACATTTTTTTTCGCCTTTCTTTTGTTTCATTTCAGAATTCAAACACGTGTGCGGGATCGATGACAGTGTCATTGGCCTTGGTCTTTTTTGTTGGCAATGGAAAATCATTTCAATTTTGACAGCTCCATGTGATTTATACGTATCAAGGTATTTTTGGTTATTGTATCTTCATTGTTTTCTTGTTTTTTTATTACTTCGATCTTTTTTTATTTTACATGTAATTTCGCATTTGTCGAATTACGAATTCGCGTGTACAAAACGGAAAACACGTAAATTCTATTCCTGGGGTTACGGCCTAGAATTTCTATTATATAACAGGAGGTATATCCTGAGTCATGCAAAATGCAGAAATTGAATCTGACCCTTTGAACATTCTTATCTATCAGCTAGAGAGGCACTGCATCTCTTGTGTTGTAGATTTATAGCGGGGGAAACATTGATAAATAGCTGACCTCTCACTAGGCAGAGTCCCAAAACGGAAGTCAAGGCCTGACCCGAATTTCCGTTCCATATAGCATGACTGACCTTACGGTATTAACATTTGTCTTTCGATTCCAAATCCACTGGGAAACGCAGCTTCTAAAGAAGATCTAGGTAAAGAGAAAATTGTAGTTGGGCATTGGCCCCTTATGTATTATATATATGCAGGATTTAATCTAATCTATATAGATTTATATATATATATATATATTATATAGTAGATATGCATATACATATATCTGCATTTCTATATTTCTGTACATGCTCTGCTGCTCTTGGAAAGCCTTTGGCCCACGAATTACTCTCGAGATATGAGATACGGACAAAGCCCATGTTGTATAAAGCTTTCAAAACGCGGCTTGATTGGAACGCTGAATTATCATTTGAATAAGATGGCTGTAGCTGATGAGGACTTTTAGGCAAAGCTTGATTATAGGCGTAGGATTAGGTAATCGTATGATGATTATGCAAGGATATCGCATATAGTAAGGTTTACATAGAAGCATATTAGATAAGCATATAGTATGCAGTAGATGCCTAGGTCAGAATTGAATTTGTTTTTTTTTAAGCATTGTACTTACCAAGTAATTTTTACATTTCAAATAATTGATGTTCAAAAATTTAATGAATACTTTTTTAAATTCTATCAGCTGGCGTCGACCGGAACAGGACTATTTCTCTCCGGAGTGAACGTGGTTCCAGAGCTTTTCCATCCTTGGAGCTTGACACCGTCGTCGAGGAACGTTCTGATCCTGAACAGAGCACTGCATTGGAACTTAGTAGTCCTGACTAGCATACGGCCCCTCCAGCACCATCCAGGTACTTCATACTAGATCCAGAATCATCTTGCGATCTTTTTTTTATATTCTGTATTGTACTGACCTGTGTAGTATAATGAAATTCAAAATAAAGCACGTTATTACCTGTCAAAGTGCACTGCGATACTCGATATTCATTCAGCAGTTGTATCACCTTGTTATTATTTAATTTAGTTGTGGGTTTTATTAATAGTGAGTTGTAATAAAAATCAATTAAAAAAAAATATCTTATCGCGCCTGCAAGAGGGCAACCCGTCATACAGTCTCGTGCGCAAAATTGAAATTTCTGCTAAACATAAGAAATGTAGAATTTCAATGTATACATATGAATATTCTACTAGTTAATAATATTGAGTGTTTTGTAACGCAAAATATTGATTGAATGAAATAACCAGAAGTCTCTTTTAATTATTTGCTGACGGATTTTATCTTGGCTGTGTGGCGGGTTGCTTGTCCTCAGGGGCATTTTATACGATTTGTTACTTTTATACCAAAGTATGATTTTTCTTCCTTGTTACTCTTTACTTGTATGGTAACGTATTGAAATGCTCCTCTTTCAGGTCGATCCGATCTTCCAGGGTTTTGGAGGTGCCGGTTCCTGTCGATCACAGCCCTCTGTGGACTGCCTTGACGCATGCACATACAGTTTCCACGGTCCTTGGGGATACCTAGCAGGAAATCGAGGGCACTTTCATACAAGCCCTCGTACTCGACTTACCCATCGTCTACTGATATCTGGAAATGTAAAAAATAGTTAAAAAAAGAAAAAAGAAAAAGACCAAAAAGATTAAGAAATTTCGATAGCACTATGACGTGACTCTAAGAGGTGAAAGAACAGGCATATGCAGCTGATGATTAGTTGTTGCACACGAGGAATCCCTTGTTGTGGATATCATGGAATTAAAAGAAGAAACACTGTATAAAGGACTGTATGTAAATTCATATGGATATTTGTTTGCAGAGAGTTATTATAATGATATAGGGAGAAAGAGAAAAAGCGAGCATCAATTTAATTCACAGTATAGACACCAGAGGCGCTACTGAAAATTTTCTACCTGGATGATTGTAAATGAGGAATTAGTGGATAATTAGTGCTAATCTTTATTAGTTGTTGCACTTGGGAATTTTATGAAGTATATTTACGTGCAGGTTGATCAAATCATTGATGCTGATTAGAATGACAGCACTTGTACTGTAAATAATATAGACTGTGGTATATACATCATTTGTTAATGCCGTTAGACGTATGTGAAATGACTGAGGCTGTATAATAAAGGAAGAAATCTCGCAAATCAAGTACTAATCATAATGGCGGATGTTACTTTGCCAATGGGTGGATGCTGTGACGCGAAAGCACTCTTGGAGAAATTCTCTACGTAGTTGTACTACGGGATTTATTCGATACGGAATCGTGCACGCGGAAAATTCATGCTTTGTAGATATATCCGTCGTGATTTGTTTGGCTTTTTTTTTATCGGGGATATTTTGTACTTTTTGCTTGTGATTAATCGTATTAAACGTTTTCTAGATAGTGAATATTTATGAAGGATTATCTGTGGTTTTGGGCATTTATGCTGATAGAGATATGTAGGCTGGACTGAAATTTTTTTAGGATCTATTTTGAAGAGGATCATTGATATGGGGTTCGTAAGTTTCCCTGCTTTTTTTTTTTAACAAAAATCATTATTTCGAACTTCGTATTATACAAGTCTTAGAGTATAACAGTTATTTACTCGCTCAATTTATTTTGTATTTCAATACCGTTACTCGTTTTAAATTCCTTTTTTTATTACTTGTGATAACAACGCGCACGAGTTTGTCGTTTTGTTGAAGCTTGAATTTACTTACTCGGCTTGTTTCACGATGATGAATTTTTGAAACGCAATTATACTGGATATTTGAGTTTCACGCGTTTGCAATATGCACGTTTTTAAATAAATTTACATGTTTAATTTTTTTTCTACCTAAAAACCTGGTATCACTCGGCCCCGTTTCGATGCCTTTTTTAATTTATTTATTTTCTTATCCTTCTTTCGTTTCAATATGTTCTCTTGTCGCTTCTGTTGTCGTTCTTGAATTCCTTTCTGCACTCCTTCTTTCCTGCCTTCCCATTTCTTTGAACTATACTTTTTCTTTTGTTCTTGCTTCTTTACGGAACGTTTCAGCAGTTCGGGATCGTCCTTAACCTGTAAATAATGCATGGTAAGTAAATTTGATTAAGAGAATTAAACGACTGTAATGGTAATAGACAAATTCAAATAATAACCTTTTCTCCACTGGCTTTCGCTAAGACAGATTTCCAGGCTTCCTTTTCTTTGATTTCTTCAACTTTGCTTTTTTCTCCTGAAGCTTCCAACTGTTTCAATTTCTCTTTTTTCTTTTCAAGCTGCTGCAAAATTTTTTTAGGGTCTCTATCTATCTTTGATGGCTTCTTCTTTGCACCAACATCCGAGAAGTCAAATTTGCTGAAGACCATTTTTCCCTCTGAATTAAAGACGGGCTTTGGTCTAGGTATTCTAGGTGCCTCCGTATCTTCTTTCTTTCCTGCTGAACCACCTGCAGCAAGCTGTTCTGTTCTGACCAACTTTTTCTGCATTATTATCTCTTCTTTTTTAGATTTTTTCTTAATTCTGTTTTTCAGGCCTTGTTTCATTAGCTTATTTTTATAGCCAAGTTTCTTTTTACCCTTTAGAGCTTCTAATCTCTCGTGTAGTTCCTCAAATGTTTGAGCTCTCTTAATTTGTCCATCTTTTTGTTTAAAGATCTTTCCTGCGACAGAAACATATATCTTTATCACTGCGATTCATTCTATAAGAATTTATGAACTAAAAATTACCTTTTTTTTTACATTGTACAACATTATCTTGTTCGCTTTCATTATCAGCTGTAATCGATAGAGAAATATTCTATTATACAGACAAATATTGAACAGAAGAAATAAACCAGTTATAGGTTAAGTAGTAATATTGAAGAGACTTACCTAATGCTGACATAGAAACAGGCAGTTTAGAAAATATATCAGAAATATATTTATCCTCCTCCAGCAACATTTGCTGCACATGCTTCATATTAAATGGCTTTGTCATTTTTAATTGCATTGTTCGTCGAACTCACGTGCACACAGTCAAAATTGTAAATAAGGTCCTGCCACGAAACGTAACTCTTCAAGACCCGTTCTAACTATAGGTAGTACAAAATTGTATCAAGATGGAGCCAGTATTATTTCCTTTAGAACCAAATTGACAAATGTAGCTCTATCGGTATATGTATTCAAGAATTTAGAAAAAAATAAATTTTATTAAATTTATCCATACACAGATGCACCATTGAGTTTGTCTCTTGTTTAAAACAGTCTGTTCAATTATAATGAACTCAATGCTAAGTATAGTTTTAATAGTAATATTATATAGTCGTATTAGTCTTACAGACAATAAAATAAGAGTGATATTTTGTTGGGATCTATTTTAGCTTTAGGATAAATCATATTTAGTTTATAAAATTAACATATGCGTAAATGCTAACAAATTAAAATGTACTGACAGTACTGTAAAAGTAATTATATCTCTCTTAGATGCGTATAGATGAATAAAGACACAGCGTTGGTTACAGTACTGTCAGTCAGTATATTTCGGAACGAACCCTAAATTGTAAAACAGAAACCATGTACTTTGGCACGTCATTTGATATTTCTATCAGCTTTACGATATATCTAAAGCTACATTAGATCATAAAAGTTGAATTTCAGATGCAAGCTTTTCTGGTCTTAACACAATAAGATTGTTGTCATGGAGTGGAAATTTATCAAACTTCTTCTCAACTTTGTGGGCTTCTAGCGGAGTTTGAAAATATACATGACAATATCGTATTGATTGAGTTGTCGTCATTATGCTTGATATACATATTGGTTGGTAGCTTTCAAAAAGATGCAAAATGTAGGCAGCCCCAAATGGCTTTGATATATTGGCCACAATTACTTCTCCAGCTTGGACAATCTTAATTTTCTTTAGCGTCGACGCATAATTATTTGAATATGCATTATAATCATTTACATTCTGCATCACTTCTTTGGAAGTAATAAGATCTGGTATATCGTCGTTCAATTTTTCAGATTCCATCATTGAATTCCTGTTGCCAGCAGATCCATGCAAGTTATCCTTAGTTGCTCCACTTTCTTTAATGAGCTGCTCCTTATCTGTAGTACCTTGATAAGACAAACAATTCGCTATCTTATGAATACTTTTAATACGATTATTATTACCACACTTTTCGATTTCTATGCCTTCTTTCCCTTGATTTTCACTTTGAATATCCTTATGCGTAGATCGAGGTAAACTATTAGATATAGATTTATTATTTTTTGACTGAATAAAGTTATCAGAATTATTGGAACCATTACTTCTTTCACCAGTAGATTCTGTTTCATCGCAAAGCATACTATTAGAATTCGTACTAGAAATCGTTCCATCACTTTTGCTTTGTTTAAAATTAAGTTCATGATCATCAACTCTTGTCAATCGAGATTGCTGACCTTTATATTTATTCTGTGACTTTAGATCTTTTTCCTCCTTATTCATCCATGGTGTTAAGTTAATACTCTCGTGTCCTTTCAGACTCATTATGGAATTTATTGCTTCTATTTTACTTTTATAGGAGACAAAACGCATTCCTCGTTCGTTACCAGCACAGTTAACACTTAGTACGTTACCAAACTCTGAAAATATTTTGTGAATTTGATCAACGGATAACGCACTTGTGTTGCGAAAGAGAATACAAAAATTCCCATTTTTTCCTTCCTTGCAATACGAATCGATATTCATCCTGGATCACACAAGTTCCTGCCAAAGAATAATAAACAATATATAGTAATTTTTAACAATTTTTACAGCATAACTATAAACGTCTCTTTCTTTCAATCCTGATTTGACATACTCACAAATTTAGTATAAACACTTTGTGATATTTAACAAAATACAATAGATAAGCCACGTTGTATAATATTACAAATTATTGAATTATTCGACACCACGTCTATTTCTTCTATTTGTTTAGGTCCCAATTAGTTTTTCCTTTAGCACGTGCTTTATCTGTGTAAGGAATTCTATTTGAACAAAGCAGATCTGATTTCTGTTTATCGCAACTACTATAAACTGCTAGTCCCGTATAGCGGCGCCACTAATTTTAAATAATGATCGTGGCACTAAACTTTCTTCTAATTTATCTCGAAATATTTATAGAGCAAGTCTAACATAGAGTACACAGTGTCGTTGTTGAAAATAAATAAGAACTAAAATTGCAAATAATTTTATTTGTACACATTACAAATCCCAAGCATATAGTTGATTGTTCTCAATCAATTACATCATTAACTGTGTTTTCTATAATTTCAAATATGGTCGCTACTAGCGGCCATCTTTATTTCCCGCGCAGACGTACTATCGCACGGAATAATAACCCCAATTCCCAAAAGCTTCTGCAACAATTTACAATATGTCTAATACTATTAATCCCTGTTATAAATAATAACACCGTATCTCAATTTCCTAAAGTAACGTTTACAAATTCCTTATAAACAGAACAACACAAAAAGAAAACAGTCGACACAGTGGGCGGAGTTTGCGCCTGACCCGTCGAGAAAGGAATAATCTCCGTCGACATGTTTCAATAAAAATTCTATTTAAAAAATCATCCTTTCAAAAAGCACCGAATACAGTATAAACAGTCATTCTACGCCGTGTCCACGAAGAATAAATCCAGTGATGTTTTCTATTGTCCTGCAAGACGCTATTTCTACCAGTGACAGCGTACGAAAGAGAAAGCCGAACCAGCAGAAAGAGACGAAATAAACTTTGCACTCAGATTGGCTGGTTCTATCATGACTTCAAAATGGCGTTGGGACACAAGCGCCGCGTATCGTAAAACTTAGGAACTACAGGAGAAAGGCGGCTGGTCGTCACGGAGAGGAGTGAAGTGTGACACAAACGGTCCGCGCGTTGCCTTGTAAGGTGTAGAGCTTGTGATGCCCGTGCGCGGATGGCTCGAACTCGCTAAATTCGAGCCGAGATAAGAGTGACTATACCGCGATAGCCGGTATATCCGGACACAAAACTAAAGAGAAACAGGTGTAATAGAAGAGTGTTGAGATAATTAAGAGCCAAGGACCGTGGGACACAGCTTAAAACCATTATACCGTGTATACGTAAAATCCGACAATCCGTCAAAAAGCCAGACACCATTTTCGTAAAGGGAAGAGCGTGTTAGAGATTGGAAGAGAGAGTGAGATAAAGAAGAGGGATAGAATATAGTGATATACAGAAGTAAGTGAGAGAGAGCGTGAGAGAGGGATATACGAGATTATCGAATGAGTTTTAAAACTGTACGAGAAGAGACAAAGACTCAAGCATAACCTCAAAAGCCAGTGTTGCGTCGCGTCGCGTTTACTCTTCCTTCGCTTCACAGGCTATGTTACGTATATAAACCAGTTAATGCGACTCGATCTTAAGACAGAATATATTTTTACAAAGTGCATCGCGAGTTTAATCGGGCCTCTGCGTGTCGGAGGATTTTAAAGGCTTTAAAGGATTCTTAGAAAAATAATTATTATTCCCATTCGTATTATACGTGTTTGGTATATACTGAGTTTTCTACCGTCGCACGGGAACCCGGAGAAGAGGTGCTCAGTAGAAGATTATACAGTTGATGGATGAAACTGGCAGGATGCTGCAACACGGAGGTTCAGGTGTTGGTTTGATGGGTGGTAATCAAGGCCAGGGTGCCCAGAATACTGGTGGATATGGAAGCATGGGTCCTGTGGATGGTTCGGCGGCTCAGGGTCCCGATCAGACTGTCGAGGCCAGGAAACAAGACATCGGTGAAATCCTTCAACAGATCATGAATATTACTGATCAAAGTCTGGACGAAGCGCAAGCAAGGTAGGAAAACTTTTGCGCCACTCAGTTCCCGCTTGTTTCTTTTATTATTATTAGCAGATCCTTTTATCTCCATCAAGATGCTCTTCGCAGCATCCATTACTTATCGTACTCAAATCTTGACGTAGACTACTACGTGTACATGTCATAAATTCTTGACAAAAGTATTCTTTCTTTTCATTCGATTTATCATTGTTTAATACCATGAATATTTGTACAGGTTATACACCAGTCGCTGTATCGTTGTCTCTCTTATTTTTTATACTTGTAAAATCTGCTAATGCCTGTAATTTATAATAAATAATACGTAATAATTCTCAATTTCTATCCTATTTATTTTTATTGCCAGAAAGCACACGCTGAACTGCCACAGGATGAAACCAGCTCTTTTCTCTGTCCTCTGCGAGATCAAGGAGAAGACCGGTGAGTAAAAATGCTTTAAAATAATCAAAAATAACCAACAGATAACAGTCGGTTAAAATCCCGCCATATTTTGGCGTGTAAAAAAGTTTTGAGTCGGCCGACGTCCTGTCAGGGTATATCACTGTCGAAATGGATGATGGATGGAAGTCTTATCATGCGATACTATCAGTGCGACACCACGTGTTACGTAAAACATTAGAGCGTTTAAACCAGCGAAGAGAAAGATAAATGGAGAACGAGCACTTTTAAACATCTTCAAAAATCCTTGAGAGATCCACGTCACAGCACCCATGTAAGACGAGGAAAACGAAGACAAAGAGAAGGATGACACTAAAATAAAATGATACTTCCCTCGCGTTGACACTTGCCACTTTACTTCTGCTTTTAGAAGTAAAAAGAGTCTGAAATATCTCTTATCTCTTCAAAGCCATACAGGACAAAGATACAAGACGAAGGATCCCTTGCTCGTATCCTCGCGTAATATAACGTCAGGAGAGGCTACGAGGCTGGAACCCCTGCGCCTATTCGAAACTCGTAAACATAATTTTTATGCGATGTTTGGATTACTTTACGCGCGGATCAAGAGACCACGAAACGCGCAATTATTTTGGGGTTCCCTCGAGTGGTAGATTTGGGGGCGCCACGCCCCGTCATACATTCGTTATATATATATTGTAGAAGTCAGAAACGGGTCTCTATGCTTTCTATACTTGTGCATTAACGTACTGCGATTCATGTTATTTTTCCTCCACTGCGTATGCTACGCTACGCTTGTATTGAGAACGAAAATACCCAGTTTAGTAGACAGGGGTCGGTTCTCTGTCCCTTTATATATTTCTGATCCCATTCACACGCATACACGACGGAACTTACATGCTCAACGTGTAACAGAAATTTTTGTATTCACGACTTTTCCATTCCTTTGAAATATTAATTTTTATCTTACGACGTGAGCCGCGCAGAGAGTCGCAGAATGTTATTGGAGATTCAAAAGGATACTAGCTTCCTATGGATAACCCTTGGGTAAGGGTATATATCCATTGTCTACGTGTGTGGGAGCGAGAGGGATGGAAGTAACTCTGAGTGCCCCTAAAGCATTCTGAGTATTTTGTGCTAGAGAGAGAGAGAGCGAGCGAGAGAGGATTCATGGAAAAGGGATGCAGGAGGGTGAATTGAAGGAGAATATAAGGGGCGAGTGAGAGAGAACGTGGTGGCGCTAGTAGCAATGGTGGGAGTGTGGGACTGCCGGAGTTTATGGGCAATGGCTGACGAGGCAGTGAAAAAGTACTAAAACCAAGAAGAGCAGATAAACGCTATGTTAAGCAGACCGTTTTACCAGCCATTTAATATAATCAGCGCTCTCATGGAGCTCGGATAACTTCGGATCAGGCCTGTATGCAGTAGTGGGAGGAATTTTATTTTTCTCTTATTTTTTTTTCTACCCTCTCCTTTACGTTTCCGATAGTCGGACTTCTTTCCTATCTTTCTTTTCTACTGCTTTTCACGATAAAGAAATTCGGTCGAGAGTATTCATGATTTTGGAATAAGTTTTCTACGTTTTCTTTATGACCGCTTAGGGTGTATCCCTAGAAATTTCGTGATTTTGGGTACGTCTATCTTTTATCTATGATTCTTCTTTTCTTTTTCTTTCTGGTAATCCTTTTTTTTCCGTGTCGGTTTGGACAGCCCCTGACAGCGGGTGGTGTCGACTGGATGACCTAGCATACCTAGGCTGGTTCGCTATACCTAGTCTAAAAATATGTTCTCCCTGGAGTGTCTGAAGGAAATTCGAAGCAGACAAGAAATTCCAGTGAAAATCTAACATAGGGCCTGCTACGTGGTTTAGAGGATTTTCAGATAGAAATTGTACATTTATCCAATAATATTGAAATTTGATTGAAAGGCAGTTTGTTATATTAGACAGAGTACTTATTCGTGTCATATACAAATTTTATTCGACGGTCACTTTTATATGAACAGTTGAAAAAAAATGTTAGGCTAGGTTCCGTCAGACAACTATCGCCTTACCAGTATTGAACGAGGACGCGTAATCAGGAAATATTTTTGCGCGCGCCTCTACCGCCGGTTAAATAAACTAGTGCAGAACGAAAATAGCCAACGCTCTATTTCTGTACGAGTAACAACGTTCATGCTTAACGCAGGTTAAGTGTAGCTCTATGGTTTTGGCAGCGTCGGCCAACACAACATGGATGTGGAATGGAAGCATTGTATACGTGCCATTACGAGGAGATTAGTCCGAGACGATGACGATCATTGGGAAAGTTTTTATTTTTTAACGCTGGAACGTATCGAACAGAGAGGCCAGGACGTCGGCGAGCGTCGCGGCGTAACAATTAAAAATCCATACTCGATTTGGAACGTGTCCAGCTTTAATTCTATTTGGCCTCTCGGGTCCATCTCACCCGTTCACCATAACGCCGTAATCCTAGATTAAGCCAAGTTCTCGTGGTACGTTTATTTCCACTTTATTATTATTCTTATTATTGTATACTTTCTTGGCTCAATAATTGATTCCGTACCTTTCTTTTTTTTTTACGTCTCTCTCCCTCTTCCCTCCCTCCCTCTCCCTCTCTCCTAGTGTCAATCTTACTATGGACCCGGGCGTTATTCATCTTGATACTACGTTCGACTTCACTGCGATTTCTGTAGTCAACGTATTCGCAGTGACAGCCGACAAGCCCTACAAGAATAGCAGGAGGTGGGCACAGAATTCGCCTCGCATTCTCGGCACTCCTTTTGCCTCCCCTGCTCTTTTCTACAGGTTCTCTTATACTATATATATATATATCCCTCGCACGCACATATATATATATATATATATCCCTCCCTTCATTCTATACCAGTCTTAAGATCCCATGGTGCGTTCACTCCCACTCGAGCAAGACGTCGTTGCACTCGTAAAGCCCATACTCGGATGGGCCCACGATGCGATTTATACTTAGTAAATACTCGAGTCGCAGTAAAGCCACGAGTGAAAACTGCCAAGGAAATTCCATATCTTTAACGCGGCTCTCAATATGTACCTGGTCCTCCACCATCTTCTGTCGTCTATCTCTCCAAGCAGATCTTGGATAATTCTCTCTCTCTCTCTCTCTCTTTCTATCCGTCCTCTTCCTCTTTCTCTCTATGTCTTGACTTCATAACGTCTGCGGCCCTGGGCATGCAGATGGGGTTCCAGCAGTCAAGGTGAACCAGCCTTTCTGCTCAGTCGAGACTCAAAACTTCTACTCGACTAACGAGGCATCCTTTGCTTTGATTTCCAATGGCTCTCAATGTTCCTCTTTTTCGAATTTTTCGTTCTTTCTTTGTCTTTACTTTTATGATACGTCGGATCAACGGCACCGTTGCCGCGTGTAGCCCTTTGCAATGTATATTCACCCGTACTCTGCACGCGCTGTTACTGCAGCATTTTTCTTTACTTTCGACTTCCTTCCCATAGATGAGAGTATGTCCATATTATAGAATTTGATCGGGTAATGTCATTCGTCATGGTTTACACAGTTTTATATAGAGTGACGACCGTGCAGATTTTTCTAATGGAAAATATATGGCCGATCTTGTTTACTTACGTTTATGCCAGGAACTACCGATTTTCACTGCGTTTGTATGATTCCGGCTTTATTTGCCGGGCTGTACAATGTTTGCGCAAGATAAAGGCCTGTAATATCTTCACGTAGTAGCATACGCTGCCTGACAATAGATAAGACAGATACCTAGGTGTCTACGTCCTACAGTCTAGAATCATTAAACACACTTGTTATTATTGTTTTTCATCTTAACCGTGGACGGTAGCGATGCTCAGTGCACAGGCTGATTCTTTCAGAGACAGTCCGAGTCGTTAGCGTCGAATCGAAACTTATGTACGCGTTTCAATGTCAATACCCATTGTGTCTCCATCCGACGGATTAACCAGGTACTATTGTAAGAGTCTCTTGGAGGTTGTTTTGAATCGTTATCTTGATTTCTGGGTAGGAGACGGTTTCTCTAAGCCTAGGGTCTGTGCCATAGTCTTACACGTTATAACTGACTATAGTTTGATTCTGTTTTAACTATCGTATATAACGTGTATAGATATATATACGCGTTAGAAATCAGGCTGGTATAACAAAGAGCAAGGAAGCATTGTCCTGTCAAGCTGGGACGTTGACGTTTCACGTTGCGGGAAATACGGTTAACGGAATTATCGTTACTGGTTTTAATTAAGGCCTCCTACCCGACTGGAAGGGTTTCCTTAGGACCCGAGGGTTCGGTATACCCGAAAAGACCTCAGTGACGCGTATAAGGAGGACGCTATTCTGTCTCAAATATCTGGAGTCTCAGGTATGATTTATAACGGGTGATAAAATATTTTTACCTATCGTCTCTCTCAGTCTTTATGGGAATAGAGTTACGTCGCTTTTTGAATTCAAGTCTCTTCATATCGTTCACCTGAGGTGCCTTTGACGCGGTATTCAACTTCCTGGCGGCTATAACCTCTTCAAGTAACTTCTTGCCGACGGGGTACGGATCGGCTGAGCCAATAGGCTCTCTTAGACGCGAAGGTCGTAGGTGCAGCCGATTTAACAAAGCATACGTTACCCACGATAAAATCTTAGAGAACCCATAAACTTGGGGCTGCCGGGTGGGTATGTTATGTCATAAAAATCCAGTAAAATAAGCTCGTAAACCGCGCGAGACTCTCCTGACGCTTGTTTCCGCGTAACTCGTGTTCGCGAGTGTATAATACACTTACGGCTGTTTGACGATACGCGTGTAGTATTATTACGTGTGGACGAAACTTATGGGTATGACAGTTGAAGTTTTTAAAAAATTTTTTTCAACGTGTCCCGATAATTTGGTATCGAGAAAAAAAAAATTTTTTTTTTCTTTTACAGCCAACTTTGTACCGTACGTGGTTTCGCGTTCGTCTTAATTAGACGTCTCGGCCGTAAAGCATTCTCTCGATCAAATCACTCCGGCGTCGGGCAGTCGGTTTTAAT